CATTGTGTTCTTATGTATATTATATTGGTTACTCGTATTTTCAAAAGTGATAACAAGCAAGTCTTATTACAGCGGATGACTTATAGTTTCTTCTAAAACTATTTTATTGCTGGCAGTTTTGACTGATAAAGCAATGATGTTACTGCTACCATTGTCTATACCCTAATTAACGAATTAATCCGAAAACAAACATCAATCTAAATATATATAACACAAAGGTGATTGACGTAGTGATCTATTAACGCCCAAACTACTGGACGGATCGGGCTGAAATTTGGCATTCGGGTAGATGTTATGACGTAGGCATCCGCTAAGAAAGGATTTTGATTAATTCTGCCCCCAAAGGGATAAAATAGGGAATGAAAGTTAGTCAATTTTAAACCGATCGAGCTGAGACTTTGCATGCTTAAAGCTACTATGACGTAAGCATCCCTAAAGAAATTCCACCCCTAATGAGATAAATTAACGTGAGCGAAGCCGCAGGCAAAAGCTAGTAAGACTATAAATCTATTAGTGTCTTGTTCTTTATACGACTTTCATATCAGTGACCATCTTTAGTGAAGCACTACTAATATATGATTCCTTAAAACAATGGTTGAAATAGAAGGACGCAATGCAAATGTACAAGTGGGTATGACCAATATAATTTGAACTGTGTTGAATGAAGGTAATGGACCAGACGAGATAATTGTTGGAGGTCTAGTTAAAAGTGGAGTCACATCTGAGTGAGTACAATTCGACACTATGATACAAGATGACCGCACCGGAACGAGCATCATTTGCCGCATGCCCATAACCCTACGATATATCCTTAAGCTTGCCCTAAAATATAGCTAGTAATAGTATACCTACTTGTAGTCAAATTTCGTATATCATATAACGAAACTATTTTTTAAATGTCTGTAGACCCAACATATTACTATATGTACATAGTAGACTATACACATTATAACTAAGAGTATTAAAGAAAACATCATAATAAACATAACATAGAGGCAAATTGAATAGCGTTAGTTTTTTGGTACATGCAATTTTAGTATTATTTAATTTTAGTATTAATAGTTTTGACGAATTAAAAATGTAAGAAAGCCCTTCATAATATTCAAAAATAAAACCTACTATTACATAAAATAAGTTTGCTAATACACAAAAAGCCGAAATAGTTATCTGTGAGACAAGATAGTGTATGTATAAAAGTATTAATTTTGAAAATGAAAAGTATTATTTATATAATTAATTTTGAGAAAGAAACAAGAGAATCAGATTAATTTCACGGTGTTAGCTACACATTAGACATAGCATTAGAAATTACGCTTAAAGTCGGATAACAGTGGAGTTGCACTCGTCAAAGGCCTCTCAGAATTAGACATTTATTACAGCATTGTACAACATCCACAAGGCTCAGCGAACAAACGATTGGACAAGGAAGTAAAACAAATGGCGGATGTTAAAATTAATTAAGCCGATAATGAATGGGATCCATTAACGCCGATATCGGCGTATGAGTGTGCAGATTGTTTGAAGTAACTACCTCAAAAAATACTAATTGGAAGCTGCCTAAAGACGAATTATTGTCTAAGATTGGGATGACCTTAATAATCATGTAGGGGTTGAATCAGAATATAGTCATACAAAGTGAAATCTTGAAACCAAATAACACTTTCCAAATATCATATAAGAAACTAAACATACTTAACAACATGATCGTAGAATTATAAGAAAATATTTAGTAACCGTCTTCAATAGAAATTAGTTGAATGTCACAAATAATACATATAGTAAACTAATTATATCATTTACATAATTATACAACTACAACCTACAATTAAAAAGCTTAAAAAATATAATACAATAACTAAAATATACTATTAAAAGGGTTAGGCAAAGTTCCGAAGATACTGGCAGCGTTCCCTCTTTGAATAGCTAGACTAATTCTTTGTCCAAGGTAGCTGCCAGCTCCTCGGTCTTCTGTGATGTCGACTAACCTTTTCGTTATTTCTTTGAAAAGTCTTATAGCGCTAGGACCCCACGGACCAAGGGTCTCGACACCGAATGGGACAAAATCATATTCGGAGCCTAGACCCCTGTATTTATATGCTTTGGCTTTTTCAGCCGCTTCACACGCCGCACCAGCTCTGTTGTTGGTTCCATGTAGATGGGATGGGGCCAGCGTGTCTGAACAGGTTGCATCCCATACCAGAACCCGGCCCATCTTCCATGGAATCAAACTCATACCGTTCGGTCTCTTGCCTTCGTCTCTTGCAATACCAGTCGGCTCAAGTAGACTTGGCACGTTGACGGTGGCAAGGCGCCGCACTTAACTATATCATATGCCAGTCGCATATGATATCGTTAAAACGGCCTGCACTTTTTTGGCATGACAGTCCCTGAATTTCTAGTTTGTCGACATCACTGCCACAGGGACATTTGTGAGGAGCGCAGACCGGAACCCCAAGCCGTAGACAGGTTGCTATTCGGAGTGTATCAGGTTCAAGAAGTTGTACATATAGTTGTATTTTGATTGAATATATCCTTACTGTTTCACCGTTTATAATACTATAATTTTTATTTATACTAAGAGACGTGAGCTTATAAATAATAATAACGACGTGATTGTTTTATCATTCTCAAAACCTCACAGATCCCACAGTTTACGTTTGCCTAGTAAAATACTCACATTGTTAGGTATGGAATGTTAACAATCTAAACATTATTTGTTAGCCAGGTAAATCTCAGTCAGAAATAGTTACCTATTATATATATATAGTTGCATATAGTTATTAAGTCGTCTGATACATAATTGTATGCATGCTTTGCAACTTCAAGTGTAATGCACTGTGTTTTAAGGAATCACTAGATTTGATACACACCTATAGCATTATCAGTTTACTAAAATAGCAACAGCTTACTATCTTCTGTTGCTATCCTTCTTGCGTTCAACGTTCGGAGCTCACCCTTCACACTAGTCGTGGTTGCTCGATTTTACGTTACACAGTAGATAACTAATCCCTGTAGACAGAGATGGTGAGATTGATAGATGTAGATACTATATGTTGTATGACTATAACAATAAAAAATTTTACACACTTGATGTTTTGTGGTGACCCGTGGATGAGAAGAAATATACTAATATAATTTAATAAATAATATAATTTAATAATAGAAACAAAACAATATCGTCACTTTATATTTGATGTTCCATTTTCAAAGTGTATACTTTTATTTTTAATAAATATCTAATGGCTATATTCCATTGTAAACATACCCATCAATTACAAGCAATGTCAAGTCGATTTCCACCCGATCCTTCTGGTTTCTTTTCTGGAAATAAACATGGTTAATCTCTATTGTAATGAAATTACTATGAATTTTCTCAAATTTTGATAGCCTCGGTGGTCTAGTTCTTTAGCACACCGCCCTACTTCCAATGGTCGCGAGTTCGATTCCTCGCACCGCATACAACATGTATCTGGATTATGGATGTTTGTATTGGTCTATGCATTATCTATATATGTATAAAAATATTTAAGTATTTATATCAGTTTTCTAGTATCAATAACACAGAACACTTAAGCTTGGGACTAGACAACGTTGTGTGATTTGTCCTGGAATTCTCATATTATTAAAAATGGCTGGATAAGACACCACATAGCACTCTATATCGCGTATGCATGTATTGTTACTACCGTGACTTCGTCCGTATGAATAGTTACTTTGGATTGCATAAAATATTGAATAATCTAACCCTAAAAGCCAAAGATATTTTCATCATTCTTGCTTCAAAAATGACGAATTTCTGTACAAGAGTTCATCTGCTATTTTATTTTACACTCTTAAGGGTGAAATTTTTACAAACTTTTAATGTTATATTTATTCATATTTAAACAACAGTCTAAAAGTCATACAAAATTCCATACAACTTAATCAACAGGCAAAAAATTAAGTTTCAAGCTTCTAGCTATAAAAATGACGTTACTTCCATATCCCTTTCAATCCCTTACAACCTTTTTTCGCATTAAAAAGCAGTCTGTGTACTTTCTCAGGGTTTAGTCTACCTGTGTACCAAATTCCATTTAAATCGGTTTAGTAGTTTATTTTTCGCATTTATAATATTAGCAAGGATTATTATGGTGTAACGCATTTTGTAATTGTTCTCAACTACTAAACCAGTCAATATTTTACTAATTTTTAAGACATAAGTATTGAGATTTTCATAAATATAGTGCTATGTTCCTGGTGCGGGCGGAACAAAGGATGTGGCGGCCCTCAATATCTGGTAGTTGCATCTCCACTACTTATGTCTGAGCACACATACAGCGATACTATAAATAGGGGAACAAACTCTCTTCTATTTTCTTTTGGATTAAAAAGTTGGAATAAATATTTTCTAGTTATTTGTGGTAGAAGAGTACAACAAATAAACGATGACTTGGCCGTCAACAAAAAAAAAATAAACAATAACTTATCTACGAGTATCTTCCCACCAAAGAACAGATGACCAGTGACAAATAAATCTACGGACAGTGAATTCATCGCTTCACATGTATAAAATTGAACGAGACAACTACTTGCGTAGCGACAACTATTTCTTTACACGGTAGCAAGAGATAATGAAATTCACTTGCTTCATTCATAAGCTAGTTATCTTATGCAAAGCGCTAATTCTGTAAGCTAAATCTCATAAAAGCTGATATAAGAATTGGACTTTTTTACGAGTACCTAGTCATTCTAGATACTTCTGGTGATATTTTAACAGTTAAGGAAAAAAATTCTAAGATCTATAAATTATTTGTCTGTGAAGAAAAGAAAAAGAAGTTGTGTATGAATCTGTAGCTTTAAGTTAAAGATGCAAATTCTCAATCAGTGGAGGTGAAGCCTAAATATAATAACAATGACGTCCGGTCGTTTTCACGCGGTATGACTCCGTTCGGAGTTCATTTTTAGCGCCATATATAAGAGAGGCTTTGTTTTTTATCTGTATAGTCATACCCCATACGCTCCGGATTGAAGACACACGGTGTGCTAAGACATGATATATTAGTTAATTGAAATAAGTGTTAAAATGGCTTGGACTCAGAAAAGTGTGGTATTTGTGTGTGTGTGCGCATTGGTGAGGACTCAGGTGATCCCGGGAAAGTCGAGAACGAACGATGGTGATTACAACACAGTGAACACGGATGGATCCTTTGATTTTGGGTAATTCCACTCATCATGAAATTGACATATTTCGTAAAGATTCCGATAGTTTTTTTAACCGGACGGTAGGGGGCGAATGAAGATGGCATTCCAAAAACTCCTGCGGAAGGATTTATGGAGCGACTTAAGGTCAACTCCCGCCTAACGGATACTACTATAATCTGAGAGCACCGCTAAGGGTTCGAACCTCGACTTAGTCCGTCATAATTTCGATCCTTGTTTGAATTGGACGGGGGGTCCATTGGAGGGTATTGCGATAGTTTAAAAATCTAATCGTAAGAGAAAACAAAAATAGTTTATAAGCTCAATTATTGTTGTTGTGATAAAAATGAATTGGCAGAATTCTGAGTCAGAACAATTTTTATTCTTTGTGATATTTTCTAGTATTACTTAGTATTAAAAGATCTATGAGATCTATCATTGCGTTTACTTTTTTGCTAACTTCAATTAATAAACTCATATCTTATTATGATGGCGACTCTACCACCATCTCCAGGATTAGTTAATTCTCCAGGTATCTACCTGGAGAATTAACTAATCCTGGATAACTTTTTTTTCTATCGTAAATATTGAGATAAATTTTCAAACACACAAAGTAGAAGTTTAAAAGTCTAATATCATACGTAAAAATATATTTATAACTCGTAAGCTTTTATATCAATAATATTCATACCAGTTTTTTTTTAATGGAATGTGCACTTGCCTATGTTAACGGAATACGCTGGCTGTACACCAGTGGTGGGTGATAAGATGAGTATAAGGTCAGCTCAGTTAGGTCATCGTGGAAAATTCATCAGGAATTTAACATGAAGGTTTTTCAGGAACCGCTTGAAGGTCAACATAATATGATGCAATAGGTTTATTAGTCCATATTACTAACAATTCCCTTCCCCCCCAATTCACATCAGTTAGTCAGGACCGATTTATAATATTGTGTTTAACGTATCATCTTGAAATTTTAAAATTACTACTACTTCATCTGGGGTTCAGTTGTGAAAGTATAAATATATATATCGTGGTCGTAGCGAAAACACACTTAATAATTATTATTATATTTCGTTTATCAGTATATTTCAATGCAATGTTTTAGCAAATCACTGGAGAGTCAGAAATATAAAATATTTTATATATAGAAGTTATAATATTTTTTCATATGTGTGTGGTCATATTCAACTTAGGGGCATTCGTCTAAGTTTTAGTAAACTACTAGGCATGAACACTCTTACGTACAGAAAATTACCTTATTAACAATAGCCAGAAGTTTTAGCGAAAGCATATTCCTTAGACGACTACTCATACTGTGGATAACTGGTCCATGAGAACTTGGTTCTTAATTAATATAATAATCATTCAATCAATCAATCTGGTCAATTCATGGTAAGCAGAGCTACTAGACAACAGATATAGTTTTTTTTTAAATACATTTAAAATATACATAGAAAGCAGACAGACCAATACAAGCAATCGAGCTCATGAGTGCTACTGTTTGTATTGTGCGAAGAATCGAACCCGCGACCATCGTAAGTAAAGCGGAGTGCTAAACCGCCAGACGACCATGTCCTATTAGAAGGTGCAATTCGTAGTAGGTCCTAGATCAAAAGACACGTAAATAGTATAGTTATCGTTCCCTATTGTTGTTTTACGAGAATTATTTAGTCTTAGGCGATTGTCGTGCGAAGTATAATTAGTATTAAATTCTAAGATAATTAATTACCTCGCGTTCTTTTGAATTTTAAGGACATTAGTGTTAGATAACAACATAATTATAATTTATTAGGTTTTAACCAATTAAAGTTGTTAACACTTACGAACTTCATTGTTTCTTAAATAATTAATTATTATATACACATATTTTACCTACGAAATATGAAAAAAAGTTCATTTTCCTTAAAAAAACAATTGGATTACAATACTACAGTGTTGGTATAACCGAGTATGCTAGCTACGCCTGTATAAGGCACATCTACATTCTACATATACATAAATAAATGTCTATTGATTGGACTACTATAGTAGTATGATATAACTATAGTTAATAAAATAATAGTCTATAATATTATGTCTATCAAACACTTATTTTCTAAATAATTTGTTAATCAATGTCGTTTTGTTCGTATTTTATTTTTTAACGAGCTTTTTCTTACTAAATGACGTCTATAGAAGTTTATTATTGTAATTCCTAATCTTCCACTCTTCATTATGTTTTCTTACTCTTAGTTATGTATGTTATGTCTTGTTTCGATAAAGTATGCATACAAGCAAACTAGCTAGTTGGGATGTAAATTATAAATAGGTATATCATCAATATCTGGAAATAAACCGTCATTGAAATAAACAAATTAAAAAAAATACGTTTAAAGTAAAGCTGACAATTTCTGAACTGTTTATTTTAAACAAAGTGAAAATATTTATTAAATAAGTACATCTGTAAATCTATCCATGTATTAGATAATTGCATGGTACAATTTAGAAAATGTTTAGTCAGTATTTGCCGATACATGTTTCAAATATACCTTGACTTGACTTGACATGACTTGACAATTTAATATTTTTCCTATTATTTACAATGACAAAAGCTTAGTAGCTTTCAGTTGTTTTATTATAGTAACAGAATTAGAATAAATCCAATATTACATAGATACCATTAGTACATAACTACAAAAAATGTATAATTAACTAAAACTTTATATTCGAATATTCGCTTTTGTATCAAATATATTTCTAAATTTCTTAAAGATTTCATTTTTTATAGATATACAAACACAGACCGAGGTGCCGCCTACCATTTAGCACACGGTACCGCAAACGGACTGGTCGGTGGCCGGTTCGGTGCTCGTGATCCTGCTACCGATACCGTGAAAGAAACTGTTTACACCGCTGGGCCTAGAGGGTAAGATTATTCTTAAGTTAACCCATTGAAAGCTATATATATGAGTAGGTACATTCGTACATCAAATTAGTCATTGCAATTCTGATATTATACTTAAATTCAACATAAGATGAACAATTTGAACTGTGTTCAAATTTAAAGTGGAGTTTAAGTTCTCAGGACTGACATTGAATGAGAGCTACGGGCGTCACGATGAAATTTATAATAGGTATCCATATGCATAACAAATCAGGTGGGCTAACATTTTGTTTACCTTATATAAAAAAAGATGTAGGTATATAGTAAAATTAAAAAGATCGCCTTTCTGCAAAGTCATATACTACGTAAATGACTTCATTGTACTTCACATCTACTTTAGGTGCCAAGCAGCTTATTTTATAAGATAGCTACTCGCCCCGGCTTCGCACGGGTGCACATGTATTATATATATAAACATTCCTCTTGAATCACTCGGTTTTTTTAATAGATAATTAAAAAAACCGTTCAAAATCCATTGCGTAGTTTTAAAGATTTAAGCATACTTTGGGACGGACAGACAGCGACAGCGACTTTCTTTAAAATATCTATGTAATGATGTTTGAGTTGAAGAGCGAAATAAGAAAATAAAATTACAAAGTTCGGAGATATGATATTTTAATCCTCCGGAATGACAACTCACATGGATGTCACATAATTACGTCATATTCAAAGGGTTGTTCATGTATATAACAACAGGTAGGTCGAGACTTTCCATCATCAATTCACTAAAAATTACATTTAATACCTACAGATTTCGAGCAAAGGGTGCAAACATACATAGAAAAATGGACTTGGATCAAAGACCTCGTGGTCCAATCGGTAACAAGGATGACCCTTATTTTGATCCCAATGAGGATCCCAGTTACTCTTTCAAGTTTGATACCAGGACTTACTCTAAAAACGAGAATGCTGATAGTAGAGGAGATGTCAAAGGTAACTTATTATAGTTATTAAATCTGCATCCGTAAAGATAATGGTAATAAAGGAAAGGTAATTGTAATAAAAGTAAGGAATTTACAAAAAGTTTTTTTATAAATACTTATGCATGCAATCAAATACTTATATGTAAATCGTGTTAGATCTATAGATCATTGTATCTCAATAATTAACTTTATCCTGCATGAAATACAGACGATCTTGCTTATTAATTTACATTTACAGTTAGGTACAAATATTTTTTGCAAAAGCTTATTGCTGAAAGTAAAAATAAAGAATAATAAAAATTATATTTTAAATATTATACAACACACCATTTTTACTAGGCCATTACTCGTTTGTGGATGACGTGGGTGAGCGTCACGATGTCTCCTACATAGCAGGCAGAGATACAGGATTCCACGTATCTTCCGCCCATCCAGACAGCCCTAATCTTATCGGCTCACCATTTCATCGATCACCGCTGGTAAGAGGAGAGACCAGACCACGTGGTCGGACGGCAGTTCAACGAGGATTAGATGGGTCATACAGGTAATTGATTAGTTATTAATGAGGCAGGTAATTTGCAACGTGGTAATAATTAAGTTGTAATTATGAATAATTGGTTTATTTATTTGGAATTAATTTGTGTGACCCCCTGTAGTTGTAAATTAACCAGAGGTACTCATTGCTTCTCTCCTCATCATAACTATTATTAAATTGATGTATCAGCTAACGTAGTAACGTTAGTAGATCCATAAATTCTTTCTAATTATCATAATTATTTTTGTACGTGGGTAATGGTGATCCAATAACAATCAAAGTTATGAATACATACATTGTCTACTGTTAAACATATTAGTCTCATCCGATCCAGCGGCGTCCGCGGTTTTCATTTATTTCCCTTCATCTGAAGTCGTTTACTTTACTTACTGATTGCTTCATATCTCTAGAACTCTTCTTTCCGGTCTGTAATGGATTGGTCTCTTCAGTTTCTTAACTTTAGTTATTCTATGGGTATCTTAATTTCGGATTCTATGTGAGAAACTTAACAGAATTTTGAATTTAGCATATCATTTCACTTCCAGAACCATTTAACTCGAAAAGTCTTCAAAACCAAACTATCATTTTCAGCATATTATTCTAACTACACTTTTGTCTTTAAACTTTATTTTTTAATTTTTTTTTTAATTTAAATTTATTTATTCAGATAACAGAGATCCAATTTGTTAGTAACAATTGTACTTAGCCTATGTTAGTATATCTAAAATTACATATTATCCTTTAAGGGCCCCCGTAACAATTTGGGTCCAAAAACAAAGTATTGGGCTGTCAAATTTATTGCACAGCATTTTCAGATTATAACTGCAGTGGTATCTTAAAGTTTAAAGACAAATTATGGTTTTAGATGATAGGTTTTTTTTTGCCCTTGAGTAGTAAATTAATGTGATTTTGTAGGTTCATATCAGCAGGCCCAGATCAGAGAAGAACAGAGAGCAGCGATTCCCATGGAAATGTTAGGGGATCGTACACATTTTTAGACGACAAAGGTGTTCAAAGGTAACTTTTTTACAATTAGATATATCCCTACCTATAATTCTCTGATTCTAAAGTAAGATAACGTGTTATGAGTCTTCATAATGAACATATAAGGTTAGAATTTGTAAACATACAGAAACCTGAGGTAATTTAATTCTTAAATTGCTAAAGCTATATGCATATTCATAAGAGTAGATACAATTTATAGTCTACTAGTTGTGCTTTATTTTATACTAGCTGACCCACGCAAATTCGTCTGCATTTCACTTACTTGACATATCATTATATGTTCAATGTACATATCTTTTAAATTTATAGCCTATAGCTATATTACTGTAAAGTTTCATCAAAATCAGTTCAATAGTTTTTGCGTGAAAGAGTAAAAACCATCCATCCATACTCACAAACTTTCGCGTTGAAAATATTAATAAGATTTATTGTTATACCAGAAATTATGATATCCGCTTATTTTTACATTAATATAATGTACCTAGTATTTGTCGGTAATTAAAATATGTATATTTGTTATATTTTGTTACCTGTTTGTTACTTGCTTGTTATATATTTAATGGGATCTTTTATTTTGTTGTATGTTTGCTGAAAGTGTAAATAAATGAATTATCTATCTACAGAACTGTAAATTACATAGCTGGTCCCGGTATCGGCTACAGAATAGTGAAGAACAACAAGGATCCTTACATCCCATCATTCTTCCCCACCATTCCAAGTGCTTACGATCCAGACTTTGTAGGCGCTGGTTCCTCCACAGGATTTTCACCCGATGATAGCGGCGCTGATGACGTATTTAAAGGTAGGAACCAAAATTGGTCAAATTTTGCAATTTATTTGTTATTACTTAATAAATAACGTTAAATAAATAAATAAAGTATTAATAAATACAATACAATGAAATTAATAAACTGAGCAATTTAATTAACTATAAAGTAGGCGCAGTTGTTTATACGTTACGTTTTGCAAATATACAAACTGACAAACAAAATAATACGACTTCAATATAACATTATTTTTAAACACTGCGATATTAATTATCTATATTCAAATGTCAAATGCTATTATTGAAAAATAGATATATATTTGGACTTCAGTAAAATTGAAAATAAATTAAGTATACCTTGTTTATTTCAATACATTAAGTAGTCTTTTCATTTCTAGGACCAGACGGCACTGCAGCATCCGGGCACGTAAAACCACCTCCATTTCCTTCTAACGATAAAGAACGACCAAACAAGCCCAGTTCAGGATCAACTGGCTCAAGTGGCTCCAATGGTAGTGGTTCTAATGGATCTGGTAATGGAGGAAGTAGTAGCTTTGGTTCTGGAGGAAGCAACTCGTTTGGTGGTATTCCTACCGGAGGTGCCTTTGGTAGTGGCTCAACTACTGGTTCCTTCGGCCCTGGCACAGGCAGTGGTGGCTCCTTCGGCCCTGGCACAGGCAGTGGTGGCTCCTTCGGCCCTGGCACAGGCAGTGGTGGCTCCTTCGGCCCTGGCACAGGCAGTGGTGGCTCCTATGGTACTGGAAATGGATTGTTCAGCAGTGGCACTAGTGGTGGTAGTTATGGGACTGGCACTTCTGGTGGCAATTTTGGCAGTGGTACATTTGGTAGTGGCACTTCAAGTGGTGGTTCCACTAGTGGTAATGGCGGCGACAGTTCAGATGGCGACGATGACGGTGATAGCGGTTACCAAGGCCCCGACTTCGGTCAGGGAAATGAAGATATAGGCTACGTCGACGAAGATGTCTCAGGTTTCGGAGCGATCATCAAACCAACGAAAGGATCAGGTGATGACTAGCACGGGAACGGCAACGTGATTGACTTTGGTGATCTTGTTTCTTTATAATTTTTGTTACAATGACTTTTGATGCCGAGGTGTCCAGTAGTAGTTCCTAGTCCATTAAACACGCTTTATTTTCTTTTAACTTTAACGAAAGAAGAAACTAAGCTCTTTTACGATCGTAGTTAAGCAAGATCACGAGTCTCAATCGACTTGTCCAGAGGTAGATGCGCACTAGACTTACCTATTTAATTTAATAAATTATGAGAATTGCTTGAACGCAATAAATATTATTCACAACCAATTTGGTTTTTATTACACCAACACCTTACGGCACGCAGCACAGAGCAATCAGCACACAGCATAAGAATTTAGATATAATTACGAATTTACAGGCAAACCGGGTCGGCCCACCAGCAAGCCTTATAGGCCAACGAAGAAACCTTATGTGCCTCTAAAACCTTTCCAGCCAGCCAATAATAAAGATGACGACGGCGGTTATGATGACGGGAAAGGAGACAAAAACACGCCACAGTTTGCTATAGGATTTAATATACACCACAATAAGCCGGGTACCACAATTATTAGGAATATAGGTCAGGATTACTTTGGGGTACCGCCCGGAGTTTCGGTCAGGGCTCACGTTCAGAGCATTGATTTATATCCATACGATTCGAAGCCTATTTCGCCGTCTGAAGCGTTAGAGAAAGACAAAACATAATAATATTACTTGTTAACATTAAAAAAATCTTAAATAAAACATTAAAATGTGTAATATCATTTAACTGTAAAATAAGCGAACTTTTAAATTATTTAACGAATAAAGCTGTAAGTAAACAAGGTAAAGCGTTTGATTTTAATTAAAGTAATATTAATAACAATGAAACTGGAGTATGAGAAACAAATATTAGGATTTGTAACTTTCATTCACAGTAGTTTCGTCATAATTAGAATTAATTATAACACTACACATTTCAATAACAATTATACTTAGGTAAAAATCTCATTCAAAAATGTTCGGACTGTGGCATACTGTTAGGTAATGTGGCTCATTAGAGAAGTATAAAACGTCTGTTGGCAAATTCGGCTGTATGATTAAGTACCTTTTTGGTCTACTACCAGAACATCCAAACATATTAAGATAAATTTACTGACTCTTAATAATAATGTAACGATGCGTTACTAAGGATTCTTACTTAAAAAGGATTAAAATCTACAATTTTATTACGTATTTGTACGGACTATTTTTACCGTATGACTTAGACCGCATCTATTAACAATCTAATTAAGAAATCCTAACAATAATGATGGAATCTGTCCTGTCCTATGGATTCCTGAAATTTATCAATTTTGCTTTTTCCTTTAAATCACATTCCACGTTCTCTGACGGCATCAAATTAGTCCTTCGAGCCGGACTAATTTGATGGCGTCAGGGAGTAAAAAGAGTGGACTGCTATAGAATCTACAGAGTGTTTATTCCTGGAATTTATACAAAATAGTTTAGCTTGACATTAATAGTACGAAACGCTATGAAATGAACTAAAGATGCGTGTGCGATCGTCATGGCGTTCTAATCAGTGTGTATTTGTGAGCGGCCGGCAGCGGCTACGTCCCGCACCCGCGGGTCTTCCCGGGGCACCGTTGCGCTCGCTGCTTATTGCTTGACCAATAATTATCCATTAAAAATGAAAATTGTATTAGACATCTGTATTACAATACAACGTGGAACAGGTAGAAAATAAACAACAGATACTTGACTTTTATAAAAATTTAATCGAACAACACGACTGTAAATTTAACAAAATGCAAAATCGTAACTGTTACAAGGAGTCGGGATTTGTTCGTTAAGTTTGTGTGCGCGTGACGTCATACCATGCCTCTCTCCCGTACTAACACTCCGTAACGATCAATACATATAATTAATACAAAAGTGTGTAACAAAGTTCAACAAGACAATTTGGAAGGGTAAATTTTGGCAATCTCATTAGTGATTATTAACAGGAAAGTTAGTATGTGAATAAAATTAATAAATCTAACACTATTTCCGGAGGTGAGAGGACTTTGTTAAGTCTTTTTTTTTATAATTTCAGCGTAACTTAAAGGTGCGTAAATGCAGTGTTTAAAATAATTAAATTTTGCATAACATCAACTTAGTTATCTTACCTCCAGAAATTTCTTGTAAATATATTATTATTATAAATAAGTACCTAACTACTCGATAGTGAAATTCATCAAAGGACAGTGTTAATAACGAGGGTTCCCAATCTTTTTTGTACTGTAACTCGGGTATTAAAAAAATACGATACTCTATTATCTCAAAAGACTGTTGAAATTAATTAATTGTACAGATTAATTTTCCTAATATTTTTTTATTAATTCTAACTATTTTTTTCTATTATATTATGTCTAATAATCCTGTTATTACACATAATATAATAGAAAAAAATAGTAGAAAGGACATTTAGTGAAATACTTAGGTTACATTAGCATGTTGCACCAGACCGCAGTCTCTAACAATGTGTAAAATTCTCTTTTCTGCTAACTTACTGTTAGTACATTTCGTGCTATACAATTTTCTGTAAATGAGGCTTACGAATTGGCTAATGTTGCATTATAGGACATAAATTTTTTTAATCAAAATTTTCATTTTTAAAATTGTTTTCGTAAATCTAGGATTTAAATGCATTAATAATGCATTACATTATAAGTGCCTTGTTTGCTATAAACTTATGCACTACGTTTCTTGACGCCATTTTATGACCCCACAGTGTTACAGTTTGGGAACCCTGATCTAATAAATATTAAGTAGAATATAAAAATGTATAATATAATCTACACAGATCTTCAAGAATTATAAGTAAATAAATAATTTTAGTTATTTAAATATTTGCGAAATACAGTTAGTTTTGAAGATTACAATAAATAATTAATAATGCCGACAAAATTTAAATATACATTCAAAACGATGCGAAAATATATTAACAATAACATATTGTAATTTGACAGTGCAAAGCAACAATATTTGCAACATGTAACACGTAATATAAAATAAATATATCCTTTCTGGTGCGTAACATACAATTCTTTAAATTTCTGAAAACACTAGCTATCATTCTGCTAAGCATGTCTCTCCTAGGCTCTGTTATTCTAGAACAATTTCGAAAATTCTAGAATACGCATTACGAACTATCTGAGAACGAGCGCATTCGAACATACCGATATCAAGTATTATATATAGTAAATGAATTATAATTATATCAACTGAAGCTTTGCTCCCTCTTACTCTAAGTATAAGTGTATATATAAAAAAAATCTACTTATATAGATAGAAAAAACATTAGATAGAAAAAGACTCTAAAAGGCAAATCAGCAAATCACAAGAGAAAGCTATATTGAGCGAATAAGTGCGTGCTTAAACCTAGGTTACAAGGATTATATTATACTATGTACAAAGAATTTTAGACCGTAATGCGAAGGCCCTTGAGTTCTGAGTTGATGATAATTGTAATATTATGATAGAAATAATATATAAAGACTTCACCACATTATCGAGGGGCATGACAGGGACAGTACATTCATAGTTGTAACAGAAACAATATTTTTATACTTTTTGCATTCATACATAACACAAATGACGTAAGTCAATAGTGGTCGTATAGCTAAGCAGATTGATCTAGATCTTATGGACTATAATTACGATAGATTTTGCGCTGGCATCCATTTACCGTGCCGTTTCCCCAATAATGTGTAGTCTTAATATTTACCATGAGTTACATAATAACCAAGTAATCTGCAATAGTAAATGTGTGACAATCTTGTAACAAACGTGTTGTCATATTGTTAAATGTAATTTCTGGACTGAAAATGTTCTTCCACATTTATTTCACAGCCAATATTTAACCTACGGCTCGTAATTTACTATTAAATAATATACATTATAAATCATGCAACTTTGTTATACTTAAGCATAGTGTTTTGTCTAAGCTGTATTTTATGGTGTAGGTTTAAAACAGCATTAAATATTCTTATTAGAAATTTTAGTCTTTGTGCCGATAACTTACAGGGGTATACCAAATTCTTGAAAACTTCAATAAAGAAACATGTATATATAAATTACGTTTTAAAAATGCACTCTATAATATATTGTTTAAGTTTAAAATCAAATAATGGATATTCTAAAGGAAACTGTTTATTTTATATAACCTCATGATCACTTAAATATATTTATTGTATGAAAAATAAAAATTACTTAAAATTTGCGCCATATATCTTAGGAAACATTGTTTTTATTCAATCAGTTTCATGGAAGCTACGGTTTGTGAAATACAACGAGCTATATACAACCTAACTACATATATTATGGTTTTATAATACCTACCAACACAATGTACCTTCAGATGTTGTGATGGTGCATACACATAATATATATATCTATAAAATTTTAGTAGGGTTAGAATTTAAAAGGTAAATATAATTAGTGTTAAACTGACATGTTAGACACTAAAAAATAACCTTATCAGTGCAGTTTAATAAGTAACAACTCGCAACATATCTATGGGACCATCCATAAACTATTACAGATAAATTTCATGATATCTACCGTAATTCTTGTCAGATGCTCCTCCGATTCTTACTGACTCAGTTAAAAAAAAATTAAATCTAAATCCTTAGATATAAAAATCACGTGTCACGTTGTTTGCCTGCGATGGACTCCTGAACCGATTGCAAATTTGATTTGCACATTCGAGTGCAATATGATCCAATTTGAAAGACAGGATAGCTTACATCTCAATTTATAGTCGCAATATTATTTTATTCAAGAACATTAGTCACAGCAAAGCGTGACCGGGTCTGTGTACATATATAATATATATTATATGAAGGTTATGATATATTTGCAAAGGTTTATTTGTCATACAATGTCATCTTAAATTATGAATGGTCCCTATTTACTAACAACACAAATTGATTTAATCAAGTAAACTTCCACTCTATTAATATACAATCCAAAATAAACCCTATGAATATAACAGTAAAGCACCAGTTTAATTTTGTGCGCCTATAAAATAATATTACTTATTTAAAACCGATGAGATTTGAAATACAAATAAAACCTATTTTAATACAAAAAACACTATAAACTCAAATTATACTAGATATTATTAAACATTTGGCTAAGATAATATAACATTTTTTAGATTGTTTTTTTAAAGTAAATATATATATTAAAGATGCATAATGCAGTAAATTCCGCATAACACATTTACATACTTTCAACAATTGTAGTATATTTTCCGAAATTTTAATTACGTCACTTCTTAAAACTTAAGGCAAGTTTAGATTACTATAAATAATATCTTGTTTGCTGCTACGAAAAAAAATGAAATTTAAATATAATATACATTGATGTCTGACTTGTCTTTCACTTTGTGTATTCTGATTTTATAAACATTGACACTCATTCTGACTAAAACACAAAGAGCGCCTATTCAAAGCCTTGTTGCTAAACTCATATTCCGCGACTTTTGCTGTACGCAAAGTTAGACTACGCTATAAACCAATCCTAATAATAATATAACAAAATTCACTATATTTTGGTAGTTTCATAATATTGTGTCTTATACAGCGCCATACATGCTTAAATATATATCATATATTTAAGCATGTATGGCTGTTTAGTTCATCCGCAGTATAAACTACTCAGTTTAAGGACGAGATTGGCGCTGTATATGTTGTCTAGAGTTATTTATTTTCTATTAAGTTATTAAATATATATTCCCACAGAATACTTACAATAACATCTTAAACCGGTCATATTATAAAATAATAACATCTAGTATTTTGAGTTTTACAATAATAAACGATGAATTGATATCAATTTTTTCATTAGTTCGGTATAGGGTTCGCAAAAGAGATACTATTAGATGCAAATAATATTAAGGTTAATTTAATTATATAAAAATATACCTAAAAATGCGACACATTTATAAGTTAATAATTAAATTAAGAACAGCCAAAACTTGGACTTTATGTCATTTTTTTAAGTAACCATAACTAGGACTTTATATTTTTTATGCGAATCTTTATTGACTTTATATGCGAATTTATTCCCGTATTCAGTCTATGGAAATTTAAACGAACATTATTGTATTATTTTGTCAAAAATAAATATATTTTTAATATCATCTTCGGGATCAATAACCGAAAATTTAATCAAAATATTGATATCAAATATACTTTCATGATTTTAAAACGATTTCATAACTAATCTAGAGTTGAGAATAATAATATTTGCAGATACGACATTCGTCATTTATGTGATTTCAGTTCTTTTTCTATCTAAATGGATCATACAAAAATCCCCATCAGTCTATGTTTGATATTTGGAAATTGTAGGTACTAATAAACGTTATAGTTTGAAATTATTACGACAAATTTGCAAAAACTTATGGAATTTTTTTTATATGCAAATTTATCGCAGGTAGGTACGTAGCATACATAGGTGGGTGGTAGGTGGGTGTATAGGACAATTGGGTCGAGTTAGAACGCGCAAGCATAACCCTGGCACTATGACGAAGAACCGAAACACCGTGGCGACTTTTAGTCGGTAGGAGACCAGCACAATCCACTCGTACAATCCCTGAGGCGAGATGGTCTCTGATGATTTTCACCGTTAAAAAAATGTGTAGGATAAGATATCACTTTAAAATCATTACACTGTTTTTGATACCACACTACTAGCAAACAGTGTTAACCTCTCATCTGCGTAGGAGCCAATTATTGGACTCGAACACTATCGCCCCATCTGTGAGAAGTCTTGTAATTGGTCTCTTAATGTCATTTTGACAGCTAACAGTTTAAGGTTAAGTTATAATAACAAGCAAGGACATATTATGGCACTACCCTACGTAATAGTCTCTAGGATACATATGTTAATGTTAGCCACATTAATTAAGTCATTAAATACGCTTCGCTTCTAAACATTTGGTTATAAATCCTCCTCTCGTTGTTACTGTCTTGATCATAAATAAATAATGTAAATTGACAACTGTCTCTGTTAGTACTCTGTGAACAGAGAAAAAATATGAAAGAGTTACAAATAAGTACATTAGTGGAAGCAATATTTATTAGTGACATAAAGCGTAATATTCCTACACGTAATGTATAATTTATTTGAAAAGTTTTGGCGACATTAAAATTGTTATATATTTCTATAAAATCAGTCTACATTGCATAAAATAATCACATAAATATGGCAAGAGCAGAATGGTCGTATTTGCAAATAATATTTCGTCTAAGCATAATCCATCAGATCCGGTCGGAGTTTTGTAGAATAACCGATATCGTGTAATAAAAAGGATTGAATATTATATATATCGTTATCGTCAATCGGATATGAATTATGCAATTAAAATATTCTCAAGCAAAATGGGAGCTCAATAAAGACTAGATTTCATAGATCTACCAACTATATTTGTTAGTTGTATTTTGGCATAAGCTAGCCGTAAACGGGCTATTACCGCATGAGCAACTAGATGTTATAGCAGACCGTTTTTTAAATAGCATATGCCATTAAAAAACGGTTGTGATTTAAAAAATGCCTTCACATCTTACCAGCAGCAGATTACAGAGACTAAGACAGCGCACAAGATACTCAGATTCTTTCAAAGAAGGAGAAACGAAATGCCAACTGCAAAATTGGAGTAATCTCTACCAACAAACTGCGTCACTATACACTAATATAGGTGCTCTATAGAGGGTAATTTGCTTCTGTGTTCTACTTATACTGCTTGTCGTCTTCGTCAAAACTGCTTTCACACTGCCCAGTTGCTGAAGTAACAAGAATTATGTTTCTCCGCAAACGTTAATCGCTAAAAACTTAATAGATTGATGAACCCTTAAGTAATTAGTTCAAGCGATAGTAGCCCTTATACGAACAACTTAAGATACGAATAAAGCGTACAATTTTATAGTATACTTTACTCACTTTTCTATAACTTCATTTTCCAAGAGTTTCGGACTTTATTTGCTACAATATTGGCACAGCTATACATATATTGCATTTTTATTTAAAAAAACACACACATCATTACATAATGTTAGATTTAAAATTAATAAAAATAGGAAACAACATTACTGAGCATAATTTTAAAAACCTACTTCTTTTGTAATAAAATTTGATATTTTTCTAAATAAAATAACTTATAGGACATTTTTATCGTTGACTATATTTTAACTACATTCACTATGTAAGCTGTGAACGAAATTTCATGAAGTTTTCACTACATTGAGATCAAATCTCAAATTATTACTACGTGTACTTGTCTTATGAAAACATTTACCACTTTTTTTTTTCATATTAAAGTAACAAAGCATAGTTGTAGCTAGATAGAAGGAGCTAGTATATAATTCAATACCATTTACAAAGCTATAAATGAAATATGTAAGAAGTACAAGTGTCTGTTCTTTTTCAACAACGCACACCACTCTTTTTAGACATATATTTCTAAAAAAAGATGGTCCTTTATCGTCACGTATTTTACATTAGGCAAGTATTATGCATTTAAATTCTAACGACAGTTTAAGTGTTCAAAGCGCCTCGTACGTCAAGGAAGAACTTACAGTGAGTAGTAAAAACTTACGAAACGCGTTCAATACTAAATTATTAACAAATTTCGACCATCAGTCTAGTCTTTTTTGTAGTATTACCCTATGAACAACTGGGGCGTAACTACGTTATACTAAAATCTGAAGAAAGATATTTTATTCGACACACTTTATAACATTCGAACTCATTCATATGCCAGCTCGATTCATAGAAATGTCATTTTGTGATTGTTTTTTTTTAATTCAGTTATTAACATTTTCTCTAATCTAAATTAAATACCTATTTATCAACCATATGTTGATAAATAGGTATTTAATTTAGATTTAAATAATATTTCTCTTTGTCTAATTATCTACGATCAGTTTTGTGTAGAATTCCTCTAGTCAAGAAAATATTTAATATTATAATTTAAATAGTCTGGAGTTGGTTACTCTTTCAAAACCATTTAAACTGTTGAGGTGCACCAAGACACCACATATTTCCAGATAAAAGACTTATTATTTCTAAAATTCATTATTTTAGAGGTACAGTTAGAGCGGAATACCTCTAAAATTGTATAAATTCTACATTTTAGAAATCAAAGAAAGATATTTACACACTTTAGGATAATCATATAGAAAGAGTAAATTTTGCTAATATCTTGGCAACACTAATCTGTTCTTCGCTAAAAACTAGTCGTGTTCCTTCAACATTTTAAAATCATTTTACTTATAAAATATCAATTCTTCAGATTATGAAATGAAAAAGTCTATCTAATCACTAGGCGTGAATATAGAACTTATACCAACAAAAATAAGATAACGTTTCGTGTGGCCAATAAAAAGAATGCAACTTCTGTCGATAACAACAAGCGTTATAACTAACAACCAATGCGTCTACTCGGCTTTCAATGGGGAGCCGCGACGCGAGGGTGACCAATATTACGTGATCTTCATTTTCTTACTGGTTTCCTCGAGCATGTCCTTGATTTTGGTGAGTGGTGATCGTTTATTATCACCCGCTTTATCGGCGCTAGTTAACGGTAGATGGATTTGAAGAGGGTCCCGAAGACGGGCTAGGTCTTTTTCTAGTTTATCTATCTGTAATATACAAATATAGTTGGAATAAATACACAGAATTACAGATTTTAGAGATACGAGCAAGAATTTTTGGCAATATTTCAACTAATCAGCGCGCAAATCGACATCGACAATATGACGTTTCGACATTGTTAGATTAAAAACTCACGAAAATTAATACGATATTTTATCATTGGTCTATTATATAGATCGTTTGACATCACAATCCCTTTTTTGACTTAACTTTAGATCCGAAACTCTATAATCTAAATAAGGTTATACAATTTCAGAGATAACAATCTTAATTTATTATTAATCCCAATTTATATGCAAGGTGGAATATATGTAATAAATAAATCATGAAAACATTGTCTGTGAATTTCGTACATAACTTTCTGGCGGTAGATCGGTCAAAACGTTTTCGTTCTCCCCCAAATGTGTAACATTTGGCCGATGGTCGATATCAACATCAAGCGCTTGTATGCACATTGTTTTCCCAATACACATCATACATTTCTATACGCACACCCGGCGAGTTTTCTATAAAATGTAATTCACAAACTAGATAATCCATATATACAAATTAAATGTCTATTTCCAAATTACAAATTAACAGCTCTTCACAAACTATATATGAAAGTATAGGTAGTAGTATAAGTAAAGGTACTTACATCAAAACAATAATTTAAAATTGTCTGTTCTCATTAATCTCTGAAAGAGCTGGACCGATTTTGACGGGACTTTTATTCGCACATAGCTAATGTTATAAGGAGTAACTAATGCTACTATTATTTAATTATAAATAAAATATTTATTTTAATAAATATAAGTTAGATTTCTCGCGGACGATGCTATAAATAATAAAGTTACCTCATCTTTCAGATGATTGTATTGGTTGATGTCTAGGCCGATCTTCTTAGCCTTTTTATGCAACGTGAGCAGGTGCTGTCTATCTTTGACGTCTGGTAACACGTACTCCTGAAATATCAGATTTAGTATTATTATGGGTATTATCTTTTGTAAATATATACAGAATATACAAATAAAACACACAGACACACGAGACACGGAGACTTAGGTGTAGATAACAGATATACTTACTTTGACATTTACGATATTACTAAAGTTTTCTACTACTTAGTTACTCAAACAATTGTACATTTAATATCTTGACTCTAATGCATTCATGCTACTTGGTAGTTTGTATACACTGATTTTAATTTTAAATTTTAAATACTAAAGTTGTTTAAAAAAGCAACACGCAAGTTTCATGTTCGTTCTAGTTCTACTAAAATAGCTTTCCGAATGAGTGGTAAATTAAAAAAATATTCAAAACTCCTTAAATTTAAGTTCATTTGAATAAATAATTTTCTATTCTTCTCTATCTCACTATATTCCTGTTATTTTTCTAATATTATAAACGCAAAATTTTGCAAGTGTGGATGGATGTTTGTTACTCTATCAAGCAAAAACTACTGAATGTATTTTAATGAAATTTTACAATAATATAGCTTATACATCAGAATAACATATAGGCTATAAATTTCAGGCAAGTGAAACCACGAGCACAGCTGGTAGTTAATATGTTAGCAACAATCTTCAGTTTTTCCAATTGAAAAGTTCATGAAACTAACCTGTTTAGTAAGCACGAAGTAAGCGTAGGCCGCCATAGCTGTACCGTAGGTGACAAAATATGTGACGGGCTCCATGATGTCCCAGGAGTACTCCCACCAGGTGAGCCTGGCCAGCACGCCGAACTGCACGCCCATGAGCCCGAGACCCACCCACGTCAGCACGGACGTCTTGCGGGTCGTCTCCACCTCTAGTGACATGCGCTTCTGAAAACAAAAATTATCAAACTATATACATTTTGTTTTATTCTTATTGAAAAACAAAAATTAGCAAGAATCACAAGTCATATAATTTTGTTTTATTCTTATTGAAATATTGAAAGCTGTTAAGTCTAATAACACTGACTTTCAGTAAATTTTCAATTCCTACTTATAATTTCATTCTTATTTTTGCTCAATTGTCGATTAGTAGAGAACCGTATCAGTGTACATATCCATATATATATCCACAACTACGAATTTAGATTATTAGTATGGAAGAAATCGTATTGTGTCTTTCTGTCTTTTTGTTACTTTTAATTAATAAACGGCTGAATTTAAGCACCTTTTATACCAAAATAGTAAACGAAGTTACAGTTATCTGTTAGTGTATTATATTAAGAACGATATAAACGTTGTTTTACAAAATGGCAATATAAATGTTTGTTTAACAAATATATATTTCGCCCTTTTGTTATGACAAGAAACCATTCTATTTATTTGTGTTAATGTTTACACAAAACACTCCCATCCATGGCATCGCTGAAAGTAAATAAAGAGTTGGTAAATAAAATGATTCAACACAACAGAAGTGAGAACAATGAACTACAAAAATGAATAGAGTATAAACATTTATATTTTCTACTTTATTTTGTATATTTGTTTTATATAGATAGTTTTATATATTACGCTGGTGGCAATGAATCTTATTTGCTATCTTATACGACGTGGTCAAGCATACTTTACGCTTGATTGTAAGCAATCTTTTCCGGGAAGTATAATTTTCATAATTAACTAAGATAAAATAAATAAATATAAAAACCAATGGCACTAGCTTGTCTCTGGCGGTTACTATTATTATGATTAAATAAATTAATATATTTTTAACTCTACATGCTATCACGTGACCGCACAGTGAGCGTATGAAGTTTTCAAAATATAATTTTAATTTTCCACGTCGACTCTTTGTTAATATTGTTCTCTTTCATGAATACTGTCACTGGATTTAAAATAATATTATATGTAAATGCGTCCGTGCATTTGCTTTGTATCAACTTACTCTGTGTAATTGGACACGATGGAATAAAGAAATCGGCTGTTACATTTTTAAATGATAGCAAATCAACGAATAATAGGAATACTCATAAAATCATTAAATAAATTGTATAAAACCAATCTACTTGGTTATTTATTTAATTTCTAAACTATACAATATAATATAGTCAATATAAAAAGTTACGTATTATCGTATGCATATATTCATATTATTATTACAAACGCATAAGTGTATGACTGTCTGTTACATTTACACTACTAAACGGGTCAACGAATTTTATTGAAATTTTATATGAAGATAGATCGTATGACAAAGGCGGATATAGACTAACTTTTATTTTTAAAAAATCTGGAAGGGAGTGAAGAAGAAGACAAAATCGCGAATAACATGGTAGTACTTAATATAATTATTACCTCCTCAAGTGGTTGTAATTCGGTGGTGAGTTTTTCTAACTGGGCACGTATATCCCTTTCTTTGCGGATCTGGTGCTCTCGTACGTTAAGAGCTTCGTATAGTTGGTTGACGAGGTTCCTCACGTCGCTCAGGCGAGTAATCTCTTCGGTGCTAAGACGCTCCTGAAATAAATAAAACGAATAACAAAGTTAATAAAATAAGACGTTTGACGCTATCGCGAATTTCAAAAATTATTTGAAATGTTATGTGATATAGTTTTCGAAAAATATGACATCATGCTTAATTAATAAAAAAATATTTTTTTATATGATTGCAATCAATCTTGTTTCAAAATCAAAATTAATTTCTTCATGTAGGACATTCTTGCCACTTATGAACGTACATTTTGTTCTATTAATATTTTTCCAACCGTCCAAATCTGTATAAAGATGCAATTGAGAATGGCAAGAAATACAAGACATATTTTTTTAAAACCAGTTTGTTAACATATTTTCTCACATAGGCGTCTATTTTTTAATGAGGGCTTTCGGCTATTGTTAGGTACTAAGACCTATAGAACTACGACCTGTGTACATCTATTGTGCTCGCCCTTTTTCAAAGTTCGCTACATAGACCCGTCAGGGACAAGAATTGAAGGATATTCTTAGGAGCGAAGGTTTTTATCTCCTCAGGATAGAGTGTATACTTTGCAAAGGAGATATTTTCGTTTATGCATGAGTGGCGAGTGTCTATGTCGAACATTAAATAAAAATCCAGCGCTTGAACAACTATTGACATGCATGTTTGCCATAAGTAATCGTTTAGTCAGTAATTTAGCTTTGTTCAATAAATATGATTTACTAGATCTTACAAATTGAAAGGTACTTCCAGAATATCGTTTGGTGCCTTAATGTAAAATCTTGTACCCATTTCCATAAAAGACCTATATACTTTTTCTAAGCGATACTTAGGAACAGTAAGTTTGTCTGTAAATCGAGTATTAATGTTATGAATATGGCTGTTTTTTGGAAATAGGTACGGTAATGTGATGTTCATGTCTATAGAAGCCGGTTGGCACTTATTATTATTGGCATAACTTGTTTGCCATTCCTATCACATAAAAAAATGCCTTCGCATTTAATGTACTTTTTAGCTAGAGTAGACTCGTTATTTGCATTCTGTGTAACCCAAAATGGCGGTATAAAATCTCGAATGTGAAACAGGCTTCATGTATTAACGCTGACATACATGTTTACTACGTAAGCCAACCTTCACATGAAATGAGTTTTAGGCGTATTATGATAATCCAGCATGTTACTGTAATAATTTAACCAATTTGAAATTTACAATATTACTTAGAGTACAGATAATGTCGATATTGGAACTGTCTGTGCTTTGTATGAAAATTTTTTACATAATATTAGGTTCTACAGAGCGGTAGTTTAAAATTTAATTCTACTAATTTGTACGTAGTTAGTAGTAGTTGTATTTGGGCGTTAAAGTCTATATTATGGACTATCGCATTTGGCATTAAAGTAATTTGCAATACCTATGATTATCTTTCACAGAAATTACATATACGATTGATGTCTGTATAATTAATGAGAGACTTCCAGATTCTTTTTAGTACCTACTTATATTATAATACAATTTTGACAGAATGGTAGATACGAGTACATTGTAATTTTCTTGTTTACTATATAATATCATATAATACCTGTAAGATTTTTTTCATATAAAAAATCAATATGTTCTTGCAGAGAATAAATTTTACTTTATTTATTTGTTTTCAATTGCTACACGTTATTTCAATATTTTTTGTATTGCATTACTACTAAATCATGTTTCTTTAATATTCGTTCAACTTTTTACTCGTGAAAGTAACAAACCGCCAGATACACAAACGCACTTTAGCACATATAATATTAATATGGATTTGCATAAAGTTAATAAATATTAATGTTACATCCGACTAAACCTACGGAATCAAAGCCCAATTATCAAAAGATCAGACAGCGTGTGTCGCTGTACAATAGTCGTCACTATTTTACGCAGAGTACTTTATTATAAGAAATTATCATATTTACAGTAATCGTATCTGCATGGCTGTTACATAAATTTTATCTTTATTACTCATAAATTTAAAGTGCAGGCTTGAACACTGAACTTGTACTATCTACAGGGATATGTAACAACTTAGTGAATTATTCCACCCACAAACGTACACTTCTCAACAATTATATCTTACTAATATCATAAACGCAAAAGTTTGTGAGTATGGATGGATAATTGTTACTCTGTCACGCAAAATCTACAGAACGAATTTTGTTAAAACTCTTTAGTAATATAGCTTATACTTCAAAATAACACATAGGCTATAATTTAAAAAGATAATATGTAAATTGGGTATGTGTGAGGCAGACGAAGTTGCGGGGATCAACTAGTTAGTAACAAATGTATTAAACATTTACGATTATCCCAGATGGAAATCAGAGTCATTTTTTATGGATGTTAATGGAATAGTGCACCCGTCTCCGCTAACGGGGTATTAGTAGAGAATAATAAGATAAAAATCATCATGTTGTTCATCTTATCATTCTCTACTGGTGCCCCGTTAACGCATCGTGTCAAATTTACCAGGAATTTATTGTGATGGTTTTCAGGGAGGACCGCGTAGAGGTGAAATTGACATGGTCCGTTGCCAGCAATGGAGTCATCAGTCTACATTTCTAATAATCCCCTTTCGCCTCAGTCGGAGTTATTGTCAACTATCGATGCCGTGGTAGACGCAACACTTGACATATCCATTTTTCATTGCATATACATATTAAATAACTACAGATTTGGGTAGTAAATTCACATGTAGAATGTAATATCGGCTAAGGGAGGAGACTGTCAGGTTGACCTCCAAGCGGTTCTCCTTGGACACAACGTGAAAATTTTCTGGTAAATTTGGGAAGATGCGATGTGTGTGACCTGACCTCATGCTCATATTATCATCCTCCACTAGTGCCCCGCTAGCGTAAACCGTTAGTGCTCTAACGGCGTGTACTCGAAGAACCATTCTACTATCATCATTTAAAAAAAAATAGAAAGGCAATTATGCACAATACAGTACGAAATAAAAAATGTCCGAGTAGCGACGGTGGTGCCTGGTATCGAGACCGTAATATATTTACGCAAACCTTTCATGAAATCTGTGAATAATGCGATACGAGTGGATGCAAACGTTTTTGTAACCCGCCTCGACCCGAAACACAAATTGACCAAACCAATGTTTAAGACATGAATATTGTAATAGAATATTGAAGAATTGAATGACAAACATGCATGGCAATAGTTGTTCATGCACATTTAATGTCAGACATAGATACCTATATACACATACTGGCATTTAAAAAAAAGAAACTCTGTTATGTTTATTACCAGTTCTTGTCAATTGATGATCTATTTACTGAACTGGACGATAGGAAAAAATATTATTGCAAAAATTTAACTATTATAAACGGCTAAAATGTCCTACATGAGTAAATGATTTTCGATTTGATTTAATAATAATAAGGATCCAATATTGCAAGTGTTGCAATCATCACAACGTTGACCGTTAACAATTCCTCTGATTACCACTTCCAAACTTATCGTTGTGAACGTATATTTATTTCATTAAATTTTAAACCTTACATAAACATTGAAAATCAATAATGCTAAAAGATTCAGACAATAGAACCAAGGCTTCGAAAAGTTATTTATATTCAAAGCGAACTAAATCCAGGTTATTCACCCGTTCTTATAAATTTTTCATATAGATGGATATCTGGTTGCTAGTTTAGTGTTACAAGGTAGAACATAACTAATTTCTTATATTAAAATTCTGAATTCTCAAATATTTTTGGACAATTGTATAATTCACATACTAGCCTCAAGCTAAGCAAAGCTTGTGTTACGGGTACTAGACGACTGCTATAAATACTTAGATTTTTTTTGTAAATATATATGTATATCGACACATAGAAAATATCCAAACCGATACAAAAATCATACTCATGAATACAAATGTCCTATGTGGTGCAGTGCAAGAAATCGAACCGCGTAAGTAAAGAGGTATGCTAAACTAAAAAATCGCTCATAAAATATGACAAACGGAAAGTATTTATTTATAAACGAGATTCTGAAAAATCTGCCATAGCTTTGATTGTATTTTTATTATGTAAATATGAATTAGAAAATCACACCTTGTAGCTATCTAATAAGATGTCTAATTCCAACGCTATTAGATGCAAAATAGAATCGCATATTACTGATTCGGGAACACTATCGTATGACATACAACAATAGTACAGTAGGCAGTTTCTCAAAGTAAGTGAATAATATCGATATCGGACTTTAACAACCATCTGGTTCGTTAATCCATCACAATGTTCATTAATCATACAATACGGAAGATTTAGACGTGAAGCCAAAGTCGACCATAATATTTAATGATATACTCGTTATGAAACGGTATTTTAAACAAATAAATGTAATTTAATCTTTATATAATCTAGAGAATAATAAAACGCGATGAAACTAATAAGTTTAAAATAATATTAGGCAATAATGACAATGCTAAAATCATATATGTAGACCACATAAAAAGACTCTAATATTTTACTAAAAATATACTGTCCTATTAGAAATAAAATGTTAATTATTTATTACATACAGAAGTTAATCATTTCGTGGAAAACAAACTGGTTGGGCAACAACAATTCTGTTGTTTCGTTATTCAAATACTAGCTGACTACTACCACTGATTACTACTTGACATTTATCATTGTATTTCGATCAATTTACATAATCTTTCTAAATTATAGCCACTAATGCTATAAAATTATTCTGAATTATAAGCTATATTACTGTAAAGTTTTATCAAAATTCGTTAAGTAGTTTTGCGCATCCACACTCACATACTTTCGCATTATAATAAAAAATAATATGAATAAGATTCATCATAAAAACAATTATTTGTTTCTTATAAATAAACAATAAAATAGAATCAATAAATAAGTCATACTACATTTATAATAAATCAACATGACGCGTAATTTCCTTACTGAAAACAGAAACTGAACTGATAGAGCTAAACGAAGCCATTTTTCTCGCGTTATCAGCGAAATATCCGCTTGGATTTAGCTGTAATAGGCAATAACGTGATCAAAGGAGATTTGACGTAGACAAACCGATTTGGGTTCAAATTTAATATGACGTAAATTTGTAATCGTAAACTGTAATAGCATTTTTATTGGCAATTTCAAAATGCCTCATAATCTGGTTGTTTAAGAATCATTTCAGAGTCAAAAACATTTATTGATGTATAATTAGTATATTTTTCCACTATACGTTTACTTCTTGGCATTTTTAACCCTACTGTACTGTACTGTACTGTTCAGTTCAGCTGGTTGAGTCCATTGGAAAAAATAACATAGTGAATATATAAAATATGTCATTTAACATAGTTACTATTTATGCTGACTGTAGGTACATGTTTAACATTGTCTATATATTAAAAATTCCGTGTCTAAGCATCTAATTCCTTGGACGCCTGTTTCCTAAGTTATCGTTTACTACATAATAGACTTTACTGCTCTAGTCCGTATTTCTTAATTAAAGTTTTCCACGCGGAAGACTATGCATTTATGAAGAATACAGGCCGTATACGAATGGACAGTTTATATGGCTATATATCTTTGTATGAATTCATACCAACAAAGAAAGCTTAGAAGTTTTCTTTGTATGAATAAAAAAAAAAGTTAAATATAAAATTTTGTTTGTAAAATCTTTACGTATTCTCGTATTGCTGTTGCTACATTGTCATATTTGGGAAATCCAATCCCGCAAATGCGGAATTCTCAGTCAAATGGTCCGTTAAGCAATACTATCCAAATCACAAAACCAAGAGTGCTACTACGGGGCCCATTGTGGGCACTGTATCTATATTAGTCTATAGATGCCTATATGCCTGTCTATAGATGATATGACAATGCATATTTAGGTTAACTTCCACGTAGAAACGTCAACTAAGAGACATAGCTTTATGTCATAATCCACTTGAGTTTTTAGCGTATATCGTCCAATTGAGAACACTATACTATCATAATCATTAAAAATTTCTTCAGGTTATTCTCGCTGGATATTACATCACAGACATATCGATTAATCCACTTCACATCTGTCTAGGAATTAACTCTCCTAAATTTAAGTGACTACACTACGGTAGAGTGACAAGAGTGCTTCTGAGAGATCGCATTGAGAGCGGTTTAATTATCGGTATTGTTAATTCATGAATAGGAAATCTAATTGGAATCGTCTTTGTTTTCTCTATAAATTTCAGAGGACAATATGTAGTATCTACCACACTATTATATAATAATAGATAATATATATTACGTATTTATTTTGAAAACTTCCCAGACACTGACAATAGAGCGTTCGAATCTGGCCGTAATAAAAAAAAAATTGTTAATATATATATATATATATATACATATATATTTCTGTCTGGTTACAAAAATACATATAACAAACCAAACAGTCAAAGATACTGTAAAATAATTAATATATAGTAATCTACGAAAGGGTTAAATAAAAGAAACAGATCATAAATATTATTGAAAATAAGTGAGGATAAATATTGGGGCACTTGATACGACACGATTAAATTATGATTAGTATTATCGAAGGAAAATATAAGAAAAGAGGGGAAGGGCAGATATATTAAGCAGATCAAGTGAAAAGTTAGAATCATGTTGTATGAACAATTAAAGAGATTGATAGAAAATCTTGGAAAATGGAGATCTTTCCACCGATAAGAGCGCATCTCATAAATTATGAATGAAAGAATTGTGATATATTTTCATGAAAAGTGCCGACACAAGACAATCCCTCCGACTACCTATGTGGAATAACATAGTTGTTACATTATTATTTATTTATTGTTGTACTGTTTTGCTACAATCGGCGTGATTACTGTACTGATTACCACTCTGTAAATAGCAAATCAAACACCCGAACGATAATGAACTAAAAACAACACGCAACACAAAAGAGCACTGTCAATTAAACACTTTGGTGTTTTAACAGCACCACTGAACATCGAACGGTTCTTGTGTATTGAAATAGAATAAAGATATTATAAAAATTATAGACTAGATCATAAGAAGATTGCTGTAAATTGGATAGTCAATAATATGCACCTAAAAGTATGAATTAAGAAAACTGTTTGATTCTTGGGACGTCAAATTTATTAATGACTCACCTGATAGAAAGAAGTGAAAAAGTAAAGTTAATAAAATAGTTAATATAGAATAATAATAAAATAGTTTGCAGACAAAGAAGTTCATAGCTAAAATAAGTTTATTAGAGGGTATTTTTTTATACTGATGTAAGCTTATGTTATATAACTCGTACTCGACTAATTTTGTATCTCAGTTCTCTGAGGTACAAAATTACTCAAGTAACTTCGAATTAAATTACGCAAAAGCGTGAAGATAAAGACATATATCTTTGCTCACGTCTACAATCCCAGATGTGAGCACAGATATATGTCTGTCTATGATAGTAATAGGCACTAAGGCTCACGTCCTTGTGACGAACAATCAATAAATACATTTTATTGAACGCATTTTAATCCAGAACGATAGGTGACAAGCCTGACACAGTCTTTCGATTTACTCGTAAATTATCAATGAATCCAATTCATTCATAATTTAAGCGCTAAGCTCTTCTCGTTAGAGCTCGTACCATTTTCCACGATTTTCCATCAATCTCTTTAGTTGTTGATATTTCCTTGATCTTAATTTATGGATTAGACTTAATATATTTCTACTTTGAGGTATTTTACGTAAAATTCAATTTGATCAAACATGATAGTTTAAACTGGAACGAAGAGAAATTGCAATATATTTAGTATATGGCTAGCTTGCCACGCATATCCGCATGCTTCGTTAGTCTTGTAGGTTAATTGCATGGCGGCGGCTTCCATCAACAAATCATGGGTTTCCCTCAACACGTAACTGAATTTTCTAGAAAATTACAATGAGTTTGACGAAACCTTATAACTTTTATCTAACACTAGCAATCTGTTCCGACTTGGCACGGATGCTTATAGTAGGAATCTATAATTTTATTTAAGAAAAATTACGTTATACGTTGAACAATTCCTATTTATTTTGTGTATGAACTGTTTCTTCTGCAGACGGGTATAAAAATAATATTTAGTTGTGGCGTAATTCGTATTGATACAATATAAGAACGAACACTTTTGACTATGAATACAATCTCTGTAGAATAAACGATTCTATCCGGTAAAACTTACACAGACTTAAATACAGCGAAATAAGAAACTAGAACCTTTCCTTTTATAAAATTGGCTGTTAATCGTGAAAATGGATTTATTCTGCTTACACAACAGTATCTTGCATTGTCACACGCTTCGCTCGCTGAACGGTCCATTGGGAATAAATCGTTCAAGATTAATTCTGATTTACATGCCATATTGTTATGTACACACACACGTATTTCTAATAAAACATTGATTACGATATCTTATAATTTCTTTAGTTTTCGTACAAAGATGTATAATTAAAATATATAGATATCATGCATATGGCACAACATTATTAATTATCAAGCGCATCAATGCGTTCACATTGAAATAAAAATTGATTTATTTTATAATACAAAATTTCTCGTATACTCTGAAAAGGTACAAATATATTTATTTAATTATAAATTACATTTTTATCCATTGTTGAAAATAGATAGCATTATTTGATTACTAATATTACTGATTTCTAATACTAACCTATCTAGCTTGTTAATTAGTATTAGAAGCTTTAGAAATTAAACAACTTTATATACTCGTTATATTTACGAGTTAATAAAAATACTTTATCACATATTAATTTAACAATCTTTACAGTTACATTGTTTCGAAATTCCGATTCTGTATCCGCTTATTTTGATTGACTGATCTAATCAGTCGATTAACCTCACATTGTCTAAAGCTGAGCAGCGTTGCATAAACCACATTTGAATTAGACATACAATTTATGCTAATGAAGTAATTGTGCATTCCGCTTTGGGTTTGATTGATTCACAATTGTATTTGCAATTTGGAATATCGAGAATTTAGCAATTTAGCTAAAATTTAATTTCACATTCGATATTGAAAATACCTCTTGTGTACTGTTTACTAACAATTTTCGGTAACTGTGCATACGTCAATTTGAATTTTTTGTAATGCAAGTCATATGTATATAATCTACAATATTTATATAAAATCCAGTTTTTATCTATTACTTTTGAGAAAGTCTGTAGCCATAAGCTGAACTAAAGTTCTATGGTTATAGTACTTTGTGTGTGGAAAGAATGCACTGTCTACCTCCTACTGATCGGGTATTAGACCATACGTTCATTATTATTATATATATATACATTTAGATTATATTGTCTGCTATTATTTTCTCATTTTTTACCATTAAGAGGGCTTATATAAGTTTGTTTATGTAACTATAATAGCAAAATAATCTGACTGTCTATCAGATGTCAAGCGGCAACCGTTATCTATATACATAAACAATACATATGCACAATCACATCAACATGTGACGGGTAGCACGCGTTGCTATTCCGAAGGACTAAGATATTATTTACATCTCTTACTCTCTACTAATTTCCTTGACAATAGGTATTTTTATCTAAGCGATATGAAAAACACACTGACCTGCGGTGGACTTTTCACATAGTACTCTGTATCGTTGATAACGAGTCGAAAATCACTCTCGAGCAATGATTCGATCGTATCACTCGCTGCAATGCGTACGCGTTCATCAGCTGCAAGGGCGGCTGCACGCTCTACGCCGCGGTCTTCTAACTTCACCTATAACAAAATATAGACAATCGACATAGAATAATACCAGTATACAATATTTACTTAATTTTACTTGTCATGATCGCAGGTTTAGTATCCGCACAATACAAACATTTAGATTCATAAGTATTTTTTATACTACGATGTTGCCAAACAAGCAGATGGCTCATCTGATAGTTACCGTAGCCTATGACCTAATAGACACATCAGGGTGGTCACTTAATTTACCATTCATGAAAAACTCCGTGCTGTAGTATCAACTGGCAGTTCAGTATATGTTTATAAAAAATATGTCTATATAGGTTATGTTAAAAACATTGCAAACAATTTTTGTTCATTACTTGGTAATGTAATCACTTCTAGCTGCTGAATGATATTGACAAATAGACAAGAATATGAAATCATTGAATTATGTGATTATAAATTTATTTCCAATGGTTTAGCATACCTTGAAATTTTTTTAAATTTATATTAAGAAAAAAAAGTTCGGCACACGTTATATTTTTATCACTATTATCCCTCTACCGCCCAACTCGGCTAGCTACTACAGTGAGAACTGGTAAGTACAGCAACTGGTACATTTTTTATGTTATAATTTCGAGTAGGTATAGCATACTTCATATTACCAACATGTTATATGTTATAAATGACAGAAAAATAGTACTTAAGTTTAAATAATACGACTTAAGTTTAAGTATTTTTTTTAATTAAGTGGATCCCCTGAATGCACGGCTCCTACTCCATTTTATACTACTTAGCCATTTTTATTTAAAAATTCATTAATCACAGTGGTTATTGTCAGATAAAAAAATATAAATTTATAATATCTTTTGTAGTATACTGACTTATTCATTTTTCGAGTGAATTTTTGCTTTAATTAGCTAAGAGGCGAGTGACGAGATGAGAATAAATGATTCATCATTTTGTTTGCCCGAAATATCCCTTGGGTGAAATGTTCCTAATAAAAATGGGCTTACTACGCATTTTAACGAGACGGAAAAAGATTGCTAAAATTGACCAATTTTTTTTATTTATTATCCCGTCAAAAGGACAGATTGTCGAAAACGTGAACATTGGGAAGTCAAAAGTCGTGTTGAAAATTGTAACGAAAGTCTGTAAAAATTGGTTCAGCAAAATCTACTTAACCTAAGCTTACCTCTGAAACTAGATTCTCTTTGCACAGCCCGTGTATGATATAGCATAAAGATCCATTAGTATTGTGGTATCGTTAAAAATATATTGCAATATTAGTCCGCAAAAAAAATTATCATTAACACCTGTCCCATTTGCCACCATTTTATTTTTTATAAAATGAATGTTGTATACGATGGCGGGGCATCAACGGAGGATTTTTGGGTGAGGATTAAGACAAATAGTTACACCATCATGGTGAATTCACCGAGAATTAATAATTATAGTTTAAAGGGGTAAGTACTCTTGTGTCAATGATGATACATGGATGGTATACATACCTGCTCCAACAAGTCTCCAACAGTCTGCGAGACCGGGCGCAGGGTAAACCGGCAGCGTTCACGGCGGGACGGCAGTGGTACAGTAATCACAGGCAAACCACGACGATAGGTTACCGTCACTTCTGTAACAAACAATACAATGTGGGTTAAAGTGGTAGCATTAACTATAATAATAATAATAATCTTAGGACAATTCACACAGCGCCATCTAGTCCCAAGTTAAGCTAGCTAAAGCTTGTGTTATGGGTACTAGTACCCATAACTGATACAAATACATAGATATTTTTTTTTGTAAATACATACATATTATATATAGAAAACACCCAGACCGATACAAACAAACATACTCATGAATACAAATGTTTGTGCCGTGCGAGGAATCGAACCCGCGACCATCGGTCGTAAAGCGGTGTACTAGACCGCTGGACCACCGAGGTCGTCAAATCCGTATCGTCTTAACTAAGAACTTTTATTGACTGTAAACGCAAAGATTAACAAATGAGGATATATGTCCATATATATATATATATATATATGTATATGGACATGGAATCGACGACGAGAATGATTCGATGGATTTATTATTGTAGTTTCAATCACCGGACCATCGATCAGAAGTAAAAATTGAAGTGGTTTCTGATAGATTTACATTCGCTACCTTTGGATTGTAAATCCGATAGTAAACCATTGGCACACCACGATGCTCATGCATAAATTAAGTGATTATGAAATCTATTTACATAAAACGCCAAGTGTAAAGTACATTTAACTTATTAAATCACTTTGTTCCAAAACAAAAATAATTATTGAAATAAAATAAGAATTTGTGATGGTCTTATATACTACAAAGAAAACTATGGAATTGTGTACTTGTTTCTTTTTGAAGTGGTTGAAATTGGTTTAGTTTCTTAGACTCACCTGTGTGTGAATTCGCTCCACTTATCCATTCGAGTATAATCGCGAACAGTATTTGAATTATGAACAATGCAATTTTGCAGCATATTAATTCATATATGTTTCAATTAAGAAAAATGACTAACGTTGTTTTTGAGGTGATGTGACGTGACTTAACAAAAGTATAACACTTTTGTTAAGTCGCCAAAAAAATACGATTGAACTTGAAATTAGTTTGCCGTCTATAATAGCCTGTTTCGTACGAATAACAGAATGAAATGAATAATTTGTAAACCCATTTTTTATATTGTAATTTACACTCAGAGTTTCAGGAAAATTTTATGTTTTTTAACTTTATAAATATACAATTAATAATCTTTGCAAATACAAGTCCTCTTGATTATGACTATGATTATCATCTTATCATATATATGATATTATTAGGTAATAATTATCGATAATATATTATTTTAATTTTTTCGCAATACACTTTAAATGAGCACAGATTACTAGGCTTTGTAGTACTATAAAACTGTAAATATATTATAAAATTAATTTACATTGTATTTGATTATATATTTTGACATGATTCTACTTCACTTTGTTTCACATAGTAACACATTAAACTATTATGCATGGCATGATAGAGTCGCTGACTATAAATCTAACAATTCAATTTAGACACCTTACTCACATCAGTACAGAAAAAATACATTGTTGTGGTTTCAAGATAAGTAATTGTTTGCTAGAACGAGAGGGAAACGGTATTAAGTTAGAAGCACGCAGCTACAGTAGTTATTGTAAACATACAAACAAACCTGTGTCTAAATTATTTAATGCAGATGCTAAGAATTGTCATCTTAAATAGAGAAAAATATACACTGTAGCATTGTTTTTAATCTGTCTAAATTTAAAATATTGTATTCAAAATTTTGTTAAAACCTTACTACTTTTATACAAAAATAATATGTAGATATTGAGACACTTCGTAGCCGTGTATATTGATATATCGACACATAATTAAAAGCTTTAAGAAAAAAACATACCTCCCTTAAAGTCCAGCAACACATCTACAATTTTCTCTTGCAGATTTTCACCATAAACATTAAGTATAAGGTGGACCGCATACTTGATGGACCTCTATGCCATAAATTTATAATTTAAAATGTTACAGACACTTGTTAGTCTAAAAACCTCTTTTTAACAGACGAAAAATTCGTCACAAAGAACGTCTCCGCGCCGGTGGGATAAGAGAGACGTGTGAGATTCTACTCAATAAAAAACCACGTGGTATAATTTCGTAATCTACAAGCCGCCATTAGTGTCGCCGTAGGGGTCGTATTAAAATCTTTTGCGACCTAAAGACTCAACTCGTTTATGCTCATCACATGGACCTATCGCCACCTGTACATTTATGCGCCTACGCACCGAAGTACGTAAAACGGCAACGCCCGCGCATGCTTGCAAACCGTAATTGCCCTGTCACTTTCCTAATCATATTCTTATGTCCAGTTTCTCTCGATATGTGATTTATAGATATCACTTTTACATGCAATATTTGTATTTTTATAAGCATCAATGCTTGTGATATTATTATTAAAGTATACAGTATCAAAGTATTATTATCAAAGTACAGACAAATATGCACGACGGGGCTATATCTCAATTATTAAAGATATATTACTACAAGGAAAAACGTCAATTTATTATGTAACTTTAACGGTAAAAATGCTGACTGCCCTGACTGACAGCTTTTATGGTAAACGGTAACCGCCACTGTGGGCGATAGAATGAGTAGTCTGTATGTGTGATCTATAAAACATTAATGAAATAATGTATAAAAAAATGTATATACTTGTAATATAGGTACGAATAATAACAGTTAAAAAGTGACAATAATCTAAAAACTGTAAAAAAACATTGAAAATTGATACAAAAATACATAAAAATATTGTAACAGTTACCTATATACCTACATAAACTGCATCAAGGATATCACGTGATCCCCGTAGTTATACATGCTTCCATACCCTGTAATTTCACTGTCATGTCTCACCTTTCAACAGCTTTCAATAGACCAGAACAGCATACAAAGTAAGCCACGAGACAGTAATAGCTGAGACAGATATTTGTCCATGCAAACAACTTTGTAGAAAGTATATCTTAGGAGATGGTAAATTAACAACGCACCTGCATACCAAGATTTTCATTTCAAAATAATATAACCATAAACATGTTTCTTCCTAAAAAACCCGGAACTGAATTATAAGTAGAAACATTGTTTATATACGACAAAGGAGAAGAACACAACCTACCCGGACGTGACACAATCTTTGCATCCTTGTGTATTCATAGAGTTATAATTCTATCGTATTTATAAAGAAACTTTCATGATACAGTGTCTTACTATATCATATAGTTTTCTTTTATCGTATATTCTCCAGTGAAGGATACAGCTTCTCTTTTCCACAATATCGCTTACTTGACTAATTTTACTAATATTCGATATTTGTCTATAAATATAGAACTTGTAAAGTAACAAATTACAGTATTGAGTATCCTTTAAATTAATCTGAAATATGATCTATTTGTGTACTAAAATTCAATGGAATCCGTCTGTATAATTTACCAATCAATAAGTTGGTTACCTACAATTTTGGGCGTATAAAATCTGTCCTTATTTCTAAATATTTATGTAAATATAAATATCATCTGGTAGATATCCGAGTATACGGTAGTCGCTAAACGATATTTTCAATTCGTGCTTATTACATATTCATGAAGAATACAATACGTAGCGTATTTTAAGAGACAGCAACAATGTCGATTTAGGATAAGGACTCTTAATCCGCTTCAGCGATCTCTTCAGTTGTAACCAGAATAAAGTGTTTTCCTAAGAGCTACAAACAAATTATCACTTGGTATATTCATATATACTGATGAAATAGGTGGTCCAGCGATTATGCACAATGCTTCCGTTGGTCGCGGGTTCTATTCCTCGCACGGTATAAACATTAGTATTCATGAGTACCATTGCACCAGTTTTGTGTTTTCTATATACATTATGTATGTATTTACAAAAAAAATATACATGTATTTATAACATTTCTCTAATACCCATAACACAAACCTTGAGACTAGATGGCGTATTGTACAGGAGTTATTTTATTATTATATACATACCATATGTATATATAAAATAGCTGGATATCTCGGTATCGCTGATTATTGCTTATTCTCGAAACCATTATCCATCGTTCCCGCCGGATTTTGGAAGTTAGGGCTATCAAATAAAAGGAACTTACTTTCAGCCTTTCACGCTTGTAATCCCAGCGTTATAGTCAGTGTATTGAAATATCATCGCCAGTGAATACACTTTGCGTTGCTTTATTACTATAAAGATCAAGTCGATCTAAAATAAGATAGAGATATTATATACGTATTACTGTTTTTATAATATAAAAATTTATAAAGATCTACATATAATACATAAATCCTATAACTAAACAATGCCGGATTTATTTTGTTACTTGTATAATTATTTATATCTACTTTGTTACTTGGTAGTTTGTAGTCTTACAAAAACTTAAAAATGCTGAACAACTTTTTACTTATAAGAGCAACACGTTACCAACTAAACTTTTCGTGATGAGTCTGCTTTTCAAATTAATGGTAAAATAAATAAAATTGACTATTCAAAATATTAAAATTTATTTAAATAAAGGACACATCGTGCATGTCAACCTAACATGGTAGGTACATTACTACTACTTTAAATAAATATTTCTATTTCTATTTCATATCCTATCATCAGAGACTTTCAAACCTATTTCTTCCATCAATGAAGCTGATTAAACCTAGAAGATAGTATATCAAACGAGATAAACGATGGATCGATCAACTCGCAGTTGAAGTTACCTAGAGTTGTAATAATTTACAACAGAATTTTGAATTTTCATAACGCGTGATAAAGTTCGTGAGGGAAACACTCAATATAAAAAAGAAAATGTTAATTAAAACATTGCTAAATCTATTTCCCGTGTGTTTCAGAATTATATGCAAATGTATAAAATATTACATAATTGGTTTAACGTGTACAAACTTTAATAAAGAAATAGTGAAAAAGTATGGAAGCGAAGCTGGCTTCCTCGTAGTAGTAAAACTCTTAGCTTGGCTTTAAAACTTTAATGAGATCCAATAGGAACTGTTCCCCACTATAGTTTAGTAG